TGTAGATGGGTGAAAAAAATACATATTTAATTCATTTTGAATTGAGGCTGTAACAACAAAATGTGGCATAAATCAATGGGTATGAATACATTCTGAAGGCACTGTAAATGTAAAGATGTACAGTACATTTATATGCTCTGGGATAAACCACACACACACACACAAACCACAGGAGATCAGATTAAAAAGACGGAAGCAGCAGGACTGAAGTGCAGCAATTTTATTTATCTACAAACAGTGACTCCTGAAGTGTTTTAAAGCCCTACTAAACAAAACAGTTCATAACAGTTCATAACAGATTATAATCAAATCATCACAATAACAGTTATATTATATATATAATACTAAAGCACATTCTAACAGAATTATTTGTCTGCAGTGTTTCAGTTACTCTGTGTGCATCTGAAATGGCATCCTATTCCCTATATAGTGCACTACTTTTCACCTGAGCCCTGTTCAAAAGTAGGGCACTATACAGGGAACAGGGTGCCATTTCAGATGCACCTGCATTTCTATAGGCTACCTCCTACTAAGGTATAATACTTCAGTTAGCTCATAGTAATCTCAGGGTTTTCAACTACAGTAACATTCTGACCATATTGAATTGTACAGTTTACGGATGGTCACTCTATATCCTATAAGTTTAGCCTCACTTTTGTCATCACTTACAGTTGAAGTCGGAAGTTTACATACACCTTAGCCAAATACATTTAAACTCAGTTTTTCACAATTCCTGACATTTAATCCTAGTGAAAAGTCCTTGTCTTAGGTCAGTTAGAATCACCACTTTATTTTAAGAATGTGAAATGTCAGAATAATAGTAGAGAGAATGATTTATTTCAGCTTTTATTTCTTTCATCACATTCCCAGTGGGTCAGAAGTTTACATACACTCAATTAGTATTTGGTAGCATTGCCTTTAAATTGTTTAACTTGGGTCAAACGTTTCGGGTAGCCTTCCACAAGGTTCCCACAATAAGTTAGGTGAATTTTGGCCCATTCCTCCTGACAGAGCTGGTGTAACTGAATCAGGTTTGTAGGCCTTCTTGATTGAGGTCAGGGCTTTGTGATGGCCACTCCAATACCTTGACTTTGTTGTCCTTAAGCCATTTTGCCACAACTTTGGAAGTATGCTTGGGGTCATTGTCCATTTGGAAGACCCATTTGCGACCAAGCTTTAACTTCCTGACTGATGTCTTGAGATGTTGCTTCAATATATCCACATAATTTTCCTTCCTCATGATGCCATCTATTTTGTGAAGTGCACCAGTCCCTCCTGCAGCAAAGCACCCACACAGCATGATGCTGCCACCCCCGTGCTTCACGGTTGGGATGGTGTTCTTTGGCTTGCAAGCCCCCCCTTTTTCCTCCAAACATAACGATGGTCATTATGGCCAAACAGTTATATTTTTGTTTTCGTCAGACCAGAGGACATTTCTCCAAAAAGTCCAATCTTTGTCCCCATGTGCAGTTGCAAACCATAGGCTGGCTTTTTTATGGCGGTTTTGGAGCAGTGGCTTCTTCCTTGCTGAGCGGCCTTTCAGGTTATGTCGATATAGGACTCGTTTTACTGTGGATATAGATACTTTTGTACCTGTTTCCTCCAGCATCTTCACAAGGTCCTTTGCTGCTGTTCTGGGATTGATTTGCACTTTTCGCACCAACACGTTCATCTCTAGGAGACAGAACGCGTCTCCTTCCTGAGCGGTATGATGGCTGCGTGGTCCCATGGTGTTTATACTTGCATACTATTGTTTGTACAGATGAACATGGTACCTTCAGGCGTTTGGAAATTGCTCCCAAGGATGAACCAGACTTGTGGAGGTCTACCATTTTTCGTCTTGGCTGATTTCTTTTGATTTTCCCATGATGTCAAGCAAATAGGCACTGAGTTTGAAGGTAGGCCTTGAAATACATCCACAGGTACACCTCCAATTGACTCAAATTATGTCAATTAGCCTATCAGAAGCTTCTAAAGCCATGACATAATTTTCTGGAATTTTCCAAGCTAAAGGCACAGTCAACTTAGTGTATGTAAACTTCTGACCCACTGGAATTGTGATACAGTGAATTATAAGTGAAATAATATGTCTGTAAACAATTGTTGGAAAAATTACTTGTGTCATGTGTAACAGTGTTGCTTCCGTCCCTCTCCTCGCCCCTACCTGGGCTTGAACCAGGGACCCTCTGCACACATCGACAACAGTCACCCTCGAAGCACCGTTACCCATCGCTCCACAAAAGCCGCGGCCCTTGCAGAGCAAGGGAAACAACTACTTCAAGGTCTCAGAGCGAGTGACGTCACCGATTGAAATGCTACTAGCGCGCACCGCTAACTATCTAGCCATTTCACACCGGTTACACATGCACAAAGTAGATGTCCTAACCAACTTGCCAAAACTATAGTTTGTTAACAAGATATTTGTGGAGTGGTTGAAAAACTAGTTTGAATGACTCCAACCTAAGTGTATGTAAACTTCCGACTTCAACTGTATGTTGCCCCGTCTTCTTTTCCTTCCTTCATTCATTCATTTGTCCCATAGCCGTAGTACAATGCAATTTCCTTATGCAATTACTGGTATAGTCTTCTTATTCTTAACAAATCAATAAACACATCGTGTTTATTTCAAAACCAATTTAAAATGATTTCCATGTCCAGAACCCCATACAGTACTGTACATAAACAATCTACGTTCCCATGCCAACCCAGTAACAGGACCCTCAAAATAGCCTGGTTCCAGATGTGTATGTGCTATGTGGATACTATGGTATCCACTGTCGTGCAATGACCATAGGTAAAACAGTACAAACAGATTGTGAACCTGGCTACCCTCAAAAGACCCTCAACCCTAAAATACCATCTTTTAAAATGATCCAGACTCTTTCTGGAACTTAAACCCCAGAGACTTTTTCATCCATTTGATCAGGAATGTAGTCGGGCGGCCAAAACTGTATAAATCTGGTTCTTTACCCATACACCTGCAGCCAGACTACTCCATCTCTCCCAGGTACCCCTGCATGCCTATCAGCATGTTACCATGACAACACAGCACCTTCCTTTAAACACCATGTATCACTACTCTGAGGAAATAGATTTGTTATGTTACAGACAGGGATTATTTTACCTTTTTCACCTGGTCTCGTCTCTAAACAACCCCTCGAAGGATATTTTCTGAACTGTCGCGTTAATAAAATAAAATAGGGGTAATAAAATAAAATAGGGAAATAAAATATTTTTATTGCAGTACTTAAAGTAACATTTTATATGGGGTTATAATGTGCTTATATTATATCCACGCTTGTAAATATACATAAACATGACATAAACTAATCATGAACTCATAAAAGGTGAAGAATTGGCCTCCTGGCCCTTGTGTTTTCGTGGGGAGAGAGAGAATGGTAGCCACATACAGCAATGTGGTGCTTTTTTACTAAGGACCCACTCAGGGTTAAATTGTGTTCCATAAATAACATAAAAACGTTGAAGCGTAAATAAAATATAATAAGTGTTTGTGAAGCGTCAATCTTATCCTGGTGTCATCTACACTATATATACAAAAGTATGTGGACACCCCTTCAAATTAGTGCATTTGGCTATTTTAGCCACAACCGTTGCTGACAGGTGTATAAAATAGAGCACACAGCCATGCAATCTCAATAGACAAATATTGGCAGTAGAATGACCTTACTGAAGACCTCAGTGACTTTCATCGTGAAACTGTCATAGGATGCCACCTTTCCAAAAAGTCAAATCGTCAAATTTCTGCCCTGCTAGAGCTGCCCAGGTCAACTGTAAGTGCTGGTATTGTGGAGTGATAACGTCTAGGAGCAACAACAGTTCAGCTGCGAAGCAGTAGGCCACACAAGCTCACAGAACGGGACCGCTGAAAGCTGAAGCGCGTAAAAGTCATCTGTCCTCACTGGCAATACTCACTACGAGTTCCAAACTGCCTCTGGAAGCAAAGTCAGCACAAGAACTGTTCGTCGGGAGCTTCATGAAATGGATTCCATCGCCGAGCAGCTGCACATAAGCTTAATATCACCATGTGCAATGCCAAGCGTCGGCTGGAGTGGTGTAAAGCTCGCCGCCATTGGACTCTGGAGCAGTGGAAATGCGTTTTCTGGAGTGATTAATCACGCTTCACCATCTTGCAGTCCGACGGACGAATCAGGGTTTGGCGGATGCCAGGAGAACGCTACCTGTCCCAATGCATAGTGCCAACTGTAAAGTTTGGTGGAAGAGGAATAATGGTCTAGGGCTGTTTTTCATGGTTCGGGCTAGGCCCCTTAGTTCCAGTGAAGGGAAATCTTAACGCTACAGCATACAATGACACTCTGGACAATTCTGTGCTTCTAAATCTGTGGCAACAGTTTGGGGAAGGCTCTTTCCTGTTTCAGCATGACAATGATAACGTCTAGCGAGGTCCATTCAGAAATGGTTTGTCGAGATCGGTGTAGAAGAACTTGACTGGCCTGCACAGAGCCCTGACCTCAACCCCATCTAACACCTTTGGGATGAATTGGAACGCTGACTGCGAGCCAGGCGCAATCGCCCAAAATCAGTGCCCAACCTCACTAACGCTCTTGTGGCTGAATGGAAGCAAGTCCCTGCAGCAATGTTCCAACATCTAGTGGAAAGCCTTCCCAGAAGAGTGGAGGCTGTTATAGCAGCAAAGGGGGACCAACTCCATATGAATGCCTATGATTTTGGAATGAGATGTTCGACGAGCAGGTGTCCACATACTTTTGGTCTTGTAGTGTATATTAGAGGGCTGCAGTGCTAGGAGGCTGAGGTGGGCGTGGCCAGGTGGTGCAATATTTGGGGTCAGGGGTTAAATGGGAGGAGCTATAGGGGCTGGAAGAGAGGCCTTGGGTCTCTCAGGGCTGCTTATAGAAGGAGCTATAGGGGCTAAAGCCTAGTGATAATAATACTGTATTGAATTGTGGTAGTAGTGTTGGAGAGCTCAGGTTGAGGCTGGGGACGGGACAGACCGCAGTAGCTCAGGGCTGGGCCTCTGTGCTGACCTCCTTCTCATAGATGTAGCTGCCCACACCACCAGTGTTCACTCCTGGAGACACAAGAACACCACAGACAAACAGACATCTAAGTCAGTATCAAATGCTGAAAATGTGTTACAGTAGAACTAATGACTTATTTTCTGTTGGTGGTTTTGCATCACTTTTATGTAGGAAGAGCAATATGAGTAGTTTCTTTTAACAGCTATAACTCACAGCACAGGCTATTGTTAAGGTATAGCTAATACCTATGTTGGGCAACAGCACCACCTAGTGGTTGAGTAAAGAAGTCAAGCACCAAGCACCTACCTTTGGGTCCAAAGAGACAAGCATAGCATGGCTTGTGGCAGTATGGCTGGCCATTATGCTGTTATAACACAAAAGACACTGTATGAAAATGTGTAACCATACCATGTATTCATTGAGAACATCCTAATTATTATGCATTTATGCCATTCAGGTGCATTCAAGAAGACCGGCTTGAGCAAGGTGCTGTGTAGATTCCCTAATCTTGATAACATAATGAGTAGTTATTTAGGATGCAAGATGATTTGTAGATCAGTGATTCTGTGTTGTGCCTTGCTCAGACGGATTCCCTTGAACATTGATTGTGTTTTTGCAGCTGGACTCTTCCTGTTTAAATGTCCTGCCTCTTTCCCCTCCACTCCTCATCCCTTCTTTCTCCCTCCCCTCATCTCTCCTACCTCTGCGTGGCTGCCGGCGGCCAGGGTCTTGCTGCACCTCTCACAGCGGAGACAGGGCCGATGCCAGTCCTTCCCCAGGGACGTCACCTTCTCAGCTGTCACACACAGTAGAGTAAATTATAAATGAATGACCTCAGCAGCAGGTGCCTCGGAAATGTTAAAATGGAGCACACATCACCATGGCAACTGCACGACAGGTCAGGTTCTAATCTAACACCTAACTTCAAAGTTAATTCTGAGCCTGGTAGTGTGCGATGGCTACTTACCAAAGTAGACCTTCTTGTTGCACCTGGGACACAGGTTGGCCTCACCAGAGAAGGTGGTGATGCTGGAAGCTGTAAAGAAACAGAAGAGTCAGAAAGAGAGTTCACCAGCAGATAACACACACACACACACACACACACACACACACACACACACACACACACACACACACACACACACACACACACACACACACACACACACACACACCAAACACAGTAGTATGGCCTCTGGCCTGCAACTGTGGGAAAACGCAGTGTGAACAGCTTGAGAAAGTCCCCTGTGACCATCCCTGGTGTGAGCCTGGCTTGTATAGTAGGTGTTACGGATACAGGTATCCTGTGTGTGTATTTGTGTTTTTCCTCTCCTTCTGCCCTAATCACAGGTGTCCCTTGTGTTCCTGATTGGAGGTCGTTGGTGTGTCCCACCTGTCAGTCATCAGTTCATCTGCTGATTGCTGAGGTGGACCAATCAGTGGACACTCCTCCTGATTACACCACCTGTTTGTGCTTTTCATTAGCCAATCACAGCACACCTCCCCTGTTTTAAAAACCCAGTTAGACAGGTTTTTGTTGTTGTTGTGTGCTTGCTTACACATTAGGCTACACAGACTGAAACCGTTTTGATAAACAGACTACCTTTGTTCCGTAGTAGTCCTTGGGTCCAGCTCCTTTCCGTTTACCGTGAGTTTAAAATAAACATTTTGTGTTTGACGGTAGGATTGGTCGTCCGGTTAGAATCCTTAGATACTGGTGCGGCGCAGTCGTTCATACTATCTGATGCGTTGCCCTTGTCCGATTAATACATATTGTGATTCCGGTGTGTTAGTCCAGGGAATTGAAATGGGATTCGTGCCATTGCACTTTGTGAACGTACACTCTGAGTTAGTCAGTGGATTGTTCAGAGTTGGCGTAGGTCCTATGTTGCCAGAAAAAGGTGTGACATTTATAATGGGCAACGATATTGCCGGAGGAAAGGTAATACCTGTATTAGATAAGTGACCAGTCTCTCTCCGAGGAGCTGGCACAGAGTTATCCACGTGTTCCCCGCTTGTGCTGTCACATGTGCTCAAGCACGACAAATGGGTGACGTGATCTATTTGTCGAACACTATTCTGTTCAGCGTGTGACCCAGCGGATAGCTTGTGTGCTACATCTGGTAAGCTGGTGCGGTCTGACCAACAGCCCAGGGAAGGGAAGAAGTATGTGGAACTTGTTGCTGACGCAATACAGTTACCAGTCACTCGTGAGCAGCTGAATGATAACCAGAAGGTTGACATTAGCCTGGCTAAATGTTTCTCTAGTGTTGTCTCAGTAGAGGCGCTAAAGAAGAAAAACATGGCGTACTTCATTGATGGTAATCTCCTTAAGTGTAAATGGACATCCCATGTTGTATCTTACGGAGATTGGAATGCTGTTTACCAAATAGTGATTCCTACAGCCTTTTGACAAAATGTGTTATCCCTCGCTCATTATCACCAGTGGTCCGGACATCTGGGAGTCACCAAGACTTATGATCGGGTTCTGCGCCATTTCTTTTGGCCCGGTTTAAAACAAGATGTGTCTCAGTTCTGTCGGACACCTGTCAAGTAACTGGGAAACCGAACCAGGTTATTCCTCCCACTCCTCTTTGTCCCATACCTGTCATAGGTGAACCATTCCAACATGTGATGGTTAATTGTGTTGGACCATTACCGAAGACAGAATCTGGTAACCAGTTTCTGTTGACGGTTATGTGTATGGCCACCAGATACCCAGAGGCCATTCCTCTGCGTAGGATTACTGCTCCGGTGGTGAGTAAAGCCTTGATTAAATTCTTAACTTTTGGGTTACCTAAGGTGGTACAAACTGATCACGGTACGAATTTCCTTTCTAAGCTTTTCAAACAGGTGTTAAAATCCTTGTCAATTACGCACCGTGTGTCAAGCGCATATCACCCAGCGACTCAGGGTGCGCTTGAACGTTGGCATCAGACACTGAAGTCTAAGCTTCGTAAATATTGTTTGGAATCTGCGCATGATTGGGATGAGGGAGTTCCTCTAGTTTTGTTTGCTGTCAGTGAGACGGTACAGGAATCCCTAGGGTTCAGCCCAGCTGAACTGGTGAGAGGACTTAAAGTCCTTAAGGGTCAGTTTTTATCGCAAGAGTTGTGTGCGAAAGACCATGTGTTGGACTACGTTAGTCGCTTTCGTGAGCGCCTACATTGTGCCTGTGCTCTGGCAAAGGAAGCGCTGTCTTCCTCACAGAGACGTATGAAACGGCACTATGACAAAGCGGCTGTTTTTTGTTCGCTGCAGCCGGGTGACCAATTTCTTGTATTGTTGCCTGTACCAGGAGCGTCACTGTCGGCATGTTTCTCTGGTCCTTATGTAATCGAAAAGAAACTAAGTGAAACTGATTACGTGATCCATACTTAACTATTCAACCATTGAACAAGAAGCTCTAGCTTTGTTGTTAACTCTGCAGTACTTCAACATTTTTTTATTTTAGTCATTCAGCAGACGCTCTTATCCAGAGCGACTTACAATTAGTGAGTGCATAAATTGTTCATACTGGCCCCCCGTGGGAAGTCTGTTGGTTCCAGTGCACTACCAGTGATAGTGTATACTGACCATAACCCTTTAGTTTTTCTCCACCGTATGTACAACCAGAACCAACGACTTATGCATTGGGCACTTATTGTGCAAAATTTAAATTTGGAGATCCGCCACAAAGGGTTTGGCTAATGTGATGGCAGATGCTTTGTCTCGTGTTTAGAGACGTATGATTAATTTTCTATCCCGTGAGGATGCCATTGCTCTTTGACTTTGTTTTGTATTCTTTATAGTACTTGAATCGCAAACCATTGTATGTTTGCTCTTTTAAGGGTGGAAGCGTTACGGATACAGGCATCCTGTATGTGTTTTTCCTCTCCTTCTGCCCTAATCACAGGTGTCCCTTGTGTTCCTGATTTGGAGGTCGTTGGTGTGTCCCACCTGTCAGTCATCAGTTCATCTGCTGATTGCTGAGGTGGACCAATCAGTGGCCAATCAGGGTTTTCATTACCCAATCACATCACACATCCCCTGGTTTAAAAACCCAGTCAGTTGTGTTTCTCATTGGAGACTGTTTTTTTTGCTTTCTTACACATTAGGCTACACAAACTTCTTGTCACAGACCTTTTTGATAGACAGACTACCTTTGTTCCTTCATACACCACATAGTCATAGCCCATACATCTCACTTTGTCCTGTTCCATGTGAGTATGTATTACTGGGGTGTCTTGTTTGCTGTTTAGTCCCTATTTTACCTATGTTTGTGCCTAGGAAAAGGGGATTTTTAGGAAGTCGCCCTTGGGCATACACTACCTGTAGGAAAACGTTCTCTAAAAACACTAGTTAGACCTGAGCGGACCACCCACTGTATTTTTGTATAGTTAGTAGTAAGCTAAGTGGTTCTTGAGGCAGGCAGGATCAGTTTAGGGTTTTTTGAATGTATTTCATTCCTTGGATCCAGCTCAGACCCTTTCCCCAAACCGTTTACCGTGAGTTTAAAATAACCAATCCTACTGTCAAACACAACGTTTGTCTGTGTATTTTGTTCTCACTGTTCCTTTCCACTATTCTAATTCGCATGATTTATGTTACGGGTCTCTTTACCATCGACCCTAGACTTTCAAACGCCACGGGGTTCGTAACAGTAGGTCTCTTATCACTGAGTCAGCAGGAAGACCATGTGGGTCTGCTACTCCTTTCTATCAAACTCAGATCCTTTGGCAGCTACGTTCACTATTTCACAACTTTTCCCATGTCATCACGTAATATATGTGGACACATTCAACATGTACACATGCATGCGCGAAAGACCGTGCACACACAATAGCATGTACCTTTGACAGGTGCCCTGGGAGCAAACACTTTCTTCTCCTCAGCAGGCTTAGGGGGGGCGTTCACGTCAGTAGGGGCTAGGTTATTGCTGACGGGGGCTTCGTACACATAGGACCCTGCTCCGCCAATGTTCACACCTACATAGGGCAGAGAGAGGTTAGAGTTTAGATTCAGACCAGAACTATATATACAGTACAAGTCACGTTTGGACACACCTGCTCATTCAAGGGCTTTTCTTTATTTTGACTATTTTCTACATTGTAGAATAATAGAAGACAAACTATAAAATAACACATATGGAATCATATAGTAACCAAAAGTGTTAAACAAATCAAAATATATTTGAGATTCTTCAAATAACCACCCTTTGCCTTGATGACAGCTTTGCACACTCTTGGCATTCTATCAACCAGCTTCACCTAGAATGCTTTTCCAACAGTCTTGAAGGAGTTCCCACATATGCTGAGCACTTGTTGGCTGATTTTCCTTCACTCTGCCATCCGACTCATCCCAAACAATCTCAATTGGGTTGAGGTCGGGGAATTGTGGAGGCCAGGTCATCTGATGCAGCACTCCATCACTCTCCTCCTTGGTAAAATAGCCCTTACACAGCCTGGAGGTGTGTTGGGTCATTATCCTGTTGAAAAACAAATGATAGTCCCACTAAGCCCAAACCAGATGGGATGGTGTATCACTGCAGAATGCTGTGGTAGCCATGCTGGTTAAGTGTGCCTTGAATTCTGAATAAATCAGTGTCACCCACAAAGCACCCCCACACCATAATACCTCCTCCATGCTTTACGGCGGGAACTACACATGCGGAGATCATTCGTTCACCCACACTGCGTCTCACAAAGACACAGCGGTTGGAACTAAAAATCTCCAGACCAAAGGACAATTTTCCACCGGTCTAATGTCCATTGCTCGTGTTTCTTGGCCCAAGCAAGTCTCTTCTTCTTATTGGTGTCCTTTAGTAGTGGTTTCTTTGCAGCAATTTGACCATGAAGGCCTGATATACGAAGTCTCCTCTGAACAGTTGATGTTTAGGTGTCTGTTACTTGAACTCTGTGAAGCATTTATTTGGGCTGCAATTTCTGAGGCTGGTAACTAATGAACTTATCCTCTGCAGCAGAGGTAACTCTGGGTCTTCCATTCCTGTGGCGGTCCTCATGAGAGCCAGTTTCATCATAGCCCTTGATGGTTTTTGCGACTGCACTTGAAGAAACTTTCAAAGTTCTTGAAATGTTCCATATAGACTGACCATGTCTTAAAGTAATGATGGACTGTTTCTCTTTGCTAATTTGAGCTGTCTTTTACCAAATAGGGCTATGTTCTGTATACCCCCCTACCTTGTCACAACACAACTGATTGGCTCAAACGCATTAAAAAGGAAAGACATTCCACAAATTAACTTTTAAGAAGGCACACCTGTTAATTGAAATGCATTCCAGGTGACTACCTCATGAAGCTGGTTGAGAGAATGCCAAGAACGTGCAAAGCTGTCATCAAGGCAAAGGGTGGTTACTTTGAAGAATCTCAAATATAAAATATATTTAGATTTGTTTAACACTTTTGGTTACTACATGATTCCATATGTGTTATTTCATAGTTTTGATGTCTTCACTATTATTATACAATGTAGAAAATAGTAAAAACAAAGAGAACCCTTGAATGAGTAGGTGTGTCCAAACTTCTGACTGGTTCTCTATATCTCTCTCTATATATAAATAAACAAACAGAAAACCAGCAGGCTCCGGACCTTGTAGGGTAGGATTTCAATACCCCTAACCATAACTCTATTCACTACTTTTAACAACTTCCACTGAAAATTTTACAAAAACACATTCCCTTGAAGAACAGTGCAGATGCAAAGTTTGTGCCGTCATTCTGTTACCAAACTTTGCATCTGCACTTTTCTTCAAGTATATGTGTTTTTGTAAAGTTTTCAGTGGAAAATGTTAAACGTTGTCCTTGTGCATAGAGTTGTATGGTTTGTTTAACGTTGCAATCATTGGTTTTTGTTTGGCATTCATTTTAAAGTGAAAAATCTGAGACATCATTCTGTTACCATGGAATTGCCCCCATGATCTAATGTATGCCTAATGACAATAGTAAGATGTACTTCACCTTTTGGTCCAAAGAGGGCAGCATAGCATGGTTTGTGGCAGAAGGGCTTCCCATCGTGCTGTAGACAGGGAATAAAGAGAAGAAGAATGACTGACATTGAGTAAATAACATGTATAAGCCCAAAGCTCACAAGACTGACAACCATAGCTTGGCAATTTCCGTCTTCTAGCCAGACTCATGCATCTTTGTGAAAAAAAGGTTATTGGATTGTGTACGCGTGTGTGTAGGAGAGAGAGAAAAAAACACCACAGCCTCCTGAGAAAGAGAAAGGGAGATATAAAGTGAGTCTGGCTTGATCTCTATTTTCCATAGGACCCTGTCAGTTGTGTCACAATGCTCCAGCCCAGGTATCAGTTGTGGTTGAAAACAGGAGACCAGTACTGTTGATTAATCAAACACCTCACATCAGGGTCCTTTTCAGTAGGTGGAAATCATTTCGAAATTTACTGAACATGACCCAGTATTAGGGTTGCAAAATGCTGGTAACTTTCCCCAAATTCCCAGGTTTTCCAGAAATCCTGGTTGGAGGATTCCGGATTCCCTGTTTATTCCCTCATGATTCCAGGAGATCCAACCGGATCTCTACCAGATTTTTGCAACCCTATTCAGGAGAGTTGTGAGCGTGTATGGGCCTTGTAGGATGACCGAGGTCAGTCTAATGCTTAGAGATGGGTCTGTCAGGACCCTATGTCCCTCCTAATGCATGCTGGGATGATGGTGGTCATGTAACAGCATGGACAGGCAGACAGGCAGCAGAGGGATCAGGGCCTGGGTCAGATAACAGACTGTCGTAGAGAAGAGGAGACGTCCAAGTAAGTTGAATCTTCTTCAAAATAGTAACAGTGGTCATGTAGCCTAAGTCAGCCAGGCGGATCAGGGTCTAGGCGAGTGGCGCAGTGGTGTAAGGCACTGCATCAGTGCTAGCTGTGCCACTAGAGATCCTGGTTCGAATCCAGACTCTGTCGTAGCCGGCCGCGACCGGGAGACCCATGGGGCGGCGCACAATTAGCCAGCGTCGTCCAGGGTAGGGGGGAGGGAATGGCCGGCTGGGATGTAGCTCAGTTGGTAGAGCATGGCGTTTGCAACGCCAGGGTTGTGGGTTCGATTCCCACAGGGGGCCTGTATGAAAATGTATAAACTCACTTAACTGTAAGTCGCTCTGGATAAGAGCGTCTGCTAAATGACGTAAATGTAAATGTAGGCCAGAGAGAAGACATCCAATCCAGAGCTCTTTCCTAATTCATCTTTCCTCCATTCCTCGATTTCTCTCCTTGCCGCCTTGACAAAATGGATTGGAGAAAAAGGTCCAAGGGGAGGGACCTTGGACATTCTCCTCCAATACAGTGGGGAGGAGAGAGGATGAATTGAGATACAGGCAGGGGGGGATGAAGGAGGCCATGGTACCATCGCCACAGCACAGGGCCACGTGCCAATGCCGACTGTGGGAACAAACTGCTTTACCCACACAATCCCTCCACACACACACGTGGCATTTTATTCCCCTCAGAAACCCACAGAGCAACTCTTCTCAACTATTTATAATGTATTATCCATGACAGGAAGTAAATGTAGCGCTGTAACAGGAGCTAAGAAACAGACAGACAGATCCGTAGGGGTTGTAACATCTATGGTACTATGGGGCCTATACAGTAAAGGTTCTGGTAATATTAGGCTCTCTCTGACTACTAGGCACTGATGGGTTTGTCAGGAGGGAAGGGCCAGCACACAGGGCTTCATTGTGTCCACTAGACTGCTCTGGTCCCCTCACAGCTCTGGTTGTATTTCACTACAGCAGGACCAGTAGGACCTGAAAGATGGATTACCCAGCCCAGTGTGTGTGGTTATATTTCACAGCAGTAGGACCAGGAGTACCCTAAAGATGGATTAACTATCTCAGTCCAGAGCCCAGAGCCTAGCCTACTCACTTCCCAGACACAAATCGAGGATACAATCTCATTTCCAGTTTTCCTACTTCCCACATCCATTTCTGCCTCATGCACCAATTCATGTTGTTACTTCTATGACCAGAGAAAGTGAAATATTCCTTGATATGAAAAAAGACAAGCCGCTTATAATAACAGCGCAAACTTATCAAAACGATACTAATTCATTGCAACTGCAGTGGTGGTTGTAGCGTGAGTGGAAGTAGGGAGAACACACAATGTATGGCTTATAAAAGTGTTGAACAAAGTATTGACAGTGCTGAATAACTACTTAAACATGAACTTGCTCACAAAAACAGCAGCTCTTTGCTGAATTCGTTGAGTCTCTTTAGTCATGGTTTTGAAATCTCACATTATCAACTTTGCTGTGCGTTCAAGGCTTATTTTTTACAGTCTATGGCGTGAGGAAACTGTGCAGACACGGTGATCTGAGCTATCTGATTGGCCAGCGGTAGGCCTATAGGTGCACCTGTTTTGCTCTCTGGGCCTGCCGGGCAGGCGGAGTTCTGCCTTCAGACACATGAAATGGTTCAAAATGGGAACACTGCCTTGTCGGTGCTAGGGCTGCTGAATAAATAAAAATAGGAACGCAAGGCTTTATCTTTTTTTTTTTTTTGGTAATCAACTAGGAATGCCTTGGAAATCGACGGGTTGGTGACCACTGCAATACACTTTTACAACATTAATTTCATTTTAATAATGTTGAAGTACTAACAATGGAATGTTCCTCAATAAAAGTGAAGAAGATGGGACTTTACACGGGTGTCCCAACTCTGTGGTCACTAAAGATCCCATGGGGGGGTGTTGCTTATATTTGTCCGGTTTTCACTGCATGTGTATATCAAACTGTATTCCTATCATGTAATACTGTGTATAAAAGTACCATGTATGTGAAGTGTATGAATCATGTACATGTAACAAAATCTGTAGAAAAAGTAAAACAAAGTTACTTTTGTCCTCCGAAGAGCGCCAATAAAATAAATACAAATAAAGAGTATGTAAGTGGGGTTAGGGTGGTGAGTTTCCCCTTACACTGTAAAGAGCTTTGGGTGTATAGATAAATTCCATGTAAGTTCAATCTATTATTATTATTAGTCTTCAGTTGCCTAGGTAACACCCCCCTCCCTGCAGCAGCACACATAGAAATATAATGAATAGAACAGGCTTGGAACCTCTAACCTTGGCAATTTGACTGGTAAACTCATGGGTACACTTGCAATGGCTGCCTGATGCAATAATTTCCATGGTAATGTAGATTGTTTATTCAGATATTGTTAACTGATGTGGCTCATGCAATGTAATGTATTTTTTGTAATGTCAGTTGAGTTGAATGAACAAACCACAGCACATGTTGATGGGTACACTTCCTGCTTTGCTCCTATTAGTACACTCTCAATGGCCGCCACTCCACCCATTATGCCATCGTTGACTTGAATGGGGACACCCGTTCTATTCATTCTATTTCTATGGCAGCACATGCAGTCTGGAGTGGAGGAAAATGTGCTTCTTTTTTGGGGGGCTATCGGAGCGGTTATTACGGTGACCGCGATCATTTGGCTGGCCAATTACCGTCATCCAAAATCCATGACCGTCACAGCCCTAGTCTTTCCCCGACCCCCGAATCCGATCTCATAAAGCCCCCTTGCTCGTGAGACACACACACACCACCACCGCTCATCCTGCTCCCTTGGCCTTTGCGTGGTAAGACGCAGGCCCATTATCAACTGTATACCTGTATCAGGCCCCATGGTGAGGGGGATTAGTACAGACATGATCTTGGAGTGTTCTTTGTGTGTAGTAACAGAGTTATGACCTCCTCCTTGGATAGAGCCAGGATGAAAGCTTGGCCTGTGTTTGTGTGCATAATGTGTACTATGGAGGCTTGCTAAAGGCTTCCGCATGCTTCGGTTGGCTGGCGGCTAGCCAAACAATTTTACATCTAACTAAGATGTTTGGTCTAATGAATATGAATTCGGAGGACAGAAGTTATTAAATATTAAAGCATTAGACCTATCACTAAAAGCTTCAGTCATACAAAAGTTATACTTAAATCCGAACTGGTTCTCTAGCAAATTAGTAAGATTGTCTCACCCAATGTTCAAGAATGGCCTTTTTCCCTTTATTCAGATTACAACCTCTCACTTTCAGTTATTTGAAAAGGAAATAATCTCCCAAATATCACTATTTCTAAAACAAGCCATAGAAAGTTGGTTGCAATTTTCAATTTAATCCTCCAGAAACGACAGAACAAATAATGCAACAAATATTGTGGTTAAACTCAAATATACTAATTGATAAAAAAAACATACTTTTTTGAAAGAATGTTTAAAAAAGGTATAATCTTCGTAAATGATTTCATAGGTAGGACTGGTGGAGTTATGTCGCACATGCAGCTAACAAAAACATATGGAAATGTTTGCTCTACCCAAAATTACAACCAAATAATTGCAGCATTACCGCAAAAATGAAAAGTGGAAGGGGGAAAAAGTAAGGAACTTGTCTGTCGGCTCTGCATTAAAGAACATAATTGGTTAAAGAAAATTGTGATAAATAAAAAAGTATACCAGTTTCATTTAAGGACCAAAAGATTGACAGCCGTCCCATATAGATTGCAAAATAGTTGAGAAGAGATATTTGACGTACCGACCCCATGGCATAGTGTTTATGAACTGATACATAAAACGACGCCGGATTCAAAACTTAGAATTTTTCAATTTAAATTATTATACAAAATTCTTGCTACCAATAGAATGTTATTTATATGGGAGATACAATCTTCCCAGCTCTGCAGATTTTGCTGCGAAGAGACAGAATCACTAGATCATTTGTTTTGGTACTGTCCATTTGTAGCTTGTTTTTGGACACAGGTCCAGGAATGGCTAAAGGATTGCAATATTTACCTGGAGCTAACCCTGCAGATAGCATTACTGGGTGATCTGAAAAGTCATAGTCAATCGATCAATAATATAATAATACTTTTAGCAAAATTGTTTATTTTCAATTTACAATCTGTAGAAACAATGAGAATAGAAGGGTTCAGAACTTTTGTAAAACATTACAGTACAGTTGAAAAATATATGGCAAATAGAAATCCAATATGAATGGTGCTAATAGATAGATGGGAGGTGTTGAATGGAGTTGAAGGATGGGACTAATAACCACAACAAGATAACTAATGTAAACAGTATGCAAAGAGGCACTGAGTTTGAAGGTAGGCCTTGAAAACATCCACAGGTATACCTCCAATTGACCTAAATGATGTCAATTAGCCTATCAGAAGCTTCTAAAGCCATGACATCATTTTCTTTAATTTTCCAAGCTGTTTAAAGGCACAGTCAACTTAGTGTACGTAAACTTCTGACCCACTGGAATTGTGATACAGTGAAATAATCTGTCTGTAAACAATTGTTGGAAAAATTACTTGTCATGCACAAAGTAGATGTCCTAACCAACTTGCCAAAACTATAGTTTGTAAACAAGAAATGTGTGGCGTGGTTGAAAAATGAGTTTTAATGACTCCAACCTAAGTGTATGTAAACTTCCGACTTCAACTGTATATATATATATATATATATATAATGGGATGTATAGACATTATGGACAGTAAATGGGTAGAATGGATAGAATAGGACAGTGAACTGTTGTATCTACAAGTCCCTGATCACTCTCCTTGCTGTCGCCATAAACATGACGTCAGTCTCTACAGCAGAAATGTTCAATTTGTAAGTCGCTCTGGATAAGAGCGTCTGCCAATTGACGAAAATGTAAATGTAATAAACAGCTGAAAAAACCTTGCCGAAGACCAAAACGAACAAAAACGTTACAAAATGTCGTCATAATGAATGCACAAACTGTTCCAAACTGTTTAGGATGGGAAGTATTCGGACGCCTTAAGGCTCTGCCATCTGCCATCCATGGAGCCCCAGGGGGCAGAGGTGCCATCTCCCCCCTCGCTATCCCCCCTGTCCTCCTGCTTATAGAGACCCTGACCTCTGCTGTACTGGGCATGGGATCACCTCACAGCATATATCACACGGACTACATTCCTTGTCTTGTCTTAAAGTACACTACTAACCCCCCCCCCCCCCCCCCTCTGAACCATCCCTTCAGTTTCCATGATGATGGGGTACAGACTTTTCTGACCACGGCCAGGCTCTCACCATGGCAATGTAGCCTAGCCTAAGGCCGCTGGTCGGATTTGGGATGTGCTGTCAATGGAGAGGACGGACTAGCGTACATGTAATTGTGTGTATGTGTGATCTGCTGTGTGTCCATGGAGAGGAGGGTGGACAACAACAACCCAGGCCAGTACTGCCAACATCTACTAGTAGCCTGGCCCCAGACCTGTTTGTGCTATATTGGAGTTAGTTAAAGCCTGGTCCCAGACCTGTTTGTGCTATATTGGAGTTAGTTAAAGCCTGGTCCCAGATCTGTTTGTGCTGTATTGGGAGTTGGTTATAGCCTGGTCCCAGATCTGTTTACAGTATACAGTACAACTAGATCTGGGGCCAGGCTTATCTACTACTGGGGTCTGGAGAGAAATTGTGGAGAGGACATGGAGAAACAACATTTATATGATGTAATCATAATAGAGAGATTAAACAACCCAGGCTAGGACTGCATCTAGTATCTACTGATGACTGGCTAGGGTCTGGTCTGGGGGGAAATAGCTTTTGTGTCATAAAAAAGCTGCAGAATTCACATCCTTCTTTCCTTCCTGTTTTGTTCTGATCCAGATCTAGGGACAGGGCTGTTTCACACTGATGTAACCGATATCAGGAAGGACATGGGGGGATATTCAGTCTTCATGTACAGACAAGGTGGAAATAGAATGGCTGACTGCTAGGTCATGATAAAGCCTGCAAAATGTCCACCTCTCCTTCCTTCCTGTTCTGATCCAGGCACAGGGACCAGTGCTGATTCATACTGATGTAAGAGTGTGTGGAGGAGATATGAGAGAGGACTGGAGGGGATATACTGTATTCATTATAAAACACAGACATGGTGGAAATAGAAAATAGAATGGCTGACTCACTGACTTAAATAGAACAGTTTTATAATATATTGTACTGGTATTTCTATGGGCTGCTGGCTAGATCATAAAGTTACAGCTAACCTTCAGCAAGGACACAGGCAGCACATCTACAGTGTACAGCTGTAGGCTAAGCTCTAGGCCTATAGAACGGTGATGATAATGTTTCAGTGTCGTTTTGAGAGCTGCTGATCCATCTGGATGTAATGTGTGTGAGCGTGAGTGTGTGTGTTAATTAGTCAATATAAAACTGAGGCCTGCATTGGGTTTTCCGATTCGGTTATACCCCGTGGACCTATAAGGACTGGTCCTATGCGTGTGAGCCTACAGACCCATAGATATTGACATCATTGATTATCACTCACCTCAGCATGTCCCCCTGCATTCAGGGTTTTGTTACAGCGGCCACACTTCAGACAGAACTTATGCCAGTCCTTCCCCAGAGATGACACCTTCTCAGCTAGAGAAAGAGAGAGAGGAGAGAGAAAGAGAGAAAATGAGAGAGAGAGAGAGCGAGAGAGAGAGAGGATGTTATTAGTGTAAACACACTTTAAATAATGAGGCATTTAATTAAAATCAATGACTACACTTCCTTATCTCTCAGAAGGCTGTTACTTTCATTTCCTTAGAGACAACACTAGAGGGAGAATGGAGGTCATTTCTTTACAGTATAATGATTTTCTGCTCGCTCCACTGATTCCTCTTTTGACTCCTCAGAGAAGGGTCATTAGGATACTGTCTGAGAGTGCTAGTGCACTATACAGGATGCTGCTGTAATAATGTCATCATCATACAGACAGACAGCAGATGCATGAGGCCCAGGACAGCAGGGTGTCAACAGCTAACCCAGATCCCTTAATATCCCTCCTCTCCTCCCCCTTCCTCTCTCTCTATACCCCTCCCTCATCCCCCTCTCCGACTCCCTCCAACCCCACTCCTCCTCATCGACCCCGTTTCCGTCCCCTTTCACCAGTCTCAGTCTCTCCCAGACCAAACCAGACACTTCCCCAGACATGAGTGGTCCTAATTATACCCCCCCTCCCTCACCCTCCCTCCAGACAATGGTCCAGAAGAGGCCTGCAGGACCAGCTAACTCCACTACAGGAAACACCTTCTCTAATCATGGCAGGCCACAATCAGCCGGACGTCAGGCCAGACCAGTCGCCGCTTCCTACAGCACACCTCCCTCACCCCCCCCCCCCCCTTCCCCCCCCCCCCCCCCCCCCCCCTCTCCACCTGGAGTGAGCAGGATTGTTTAAGAAGGATTGTTTCAGACCCCCCTCTGCTCAGCGACTGACTCCCCACCAGGCAGTTAATTTCCTCTCCAAGACAGTTTCACTTCTCACTGTCAACTGCACTAAAACAAAAGGAGGATGTAGACAGTAACTAGTTGGACCTCCCACAAACACAACATAGCACAGCCTAACCTGAACATATCTCCAGTGATAATATTGACAGGGGTCAGGGGAAATTCCATCAAATCACAGATTAGCCTCTAAATCAATGCTTTCTAACCAAACAGTGACAGTGTCCTAAGAGAATGTATGAGTGGGATAGGAGGGACATCAAGCAGCTGTAATGCCAGCCGGCCACTCCTCTGTCATTGTGTGTGTGTGTGTGTGTGTGTGTGTGTGTGTGTGTGTGTGTGTGTGTGTGTGTGTGTGTGTGTGTGTGTGTGTGTGTGTGCGCAGAGGGACAGAAGGCTATGCCAGCCAGCCCTCTGTCATTGTATGAGGGTTAGGTGATAAACTGCACAAATAAAACAGCTCTTCAGTTTAAATGGATGTTGTTATTGTAAGAGGAGAGAGGTTGTTAAAAGGGGTGTCTGGGTTATGAGTGTGTGAGTTATAGTGTGTGTGTGTGTTGCAGTGTAGGAGGATGGTCCAGCTGTCTATCCCCTGGCTATCCTCCAGCCAACCACTCCCCCTATACGGTACCACACACAACATTATCCAGCCTGGGTGACTGGAGGCACGAACACACACACACACACACACACACACACACACACACACACACACACACACGTGTGACCCTTTCCCATTATGGCTAGAGAACATACAATATTGGCACCCTTGCACATTTCTTAAATAATTTCCTATTTCTTCTCAAATAAGTTGTTATTTTTAAACGTTGGGTTAACATACTGTTATTGGATTTTCAACATTGCAAAAATGTATTGGCACCCCGGAGCTAGTACTTGGTTGCATACCCTTTGGCCAAGATAACTGGCAACAAATGCTTCTTGGAGCCACCAATGAGCTTGAATGTTGCCCACTTTTCAGCATCAAACTGCTCTAATTCATCAATGTTTGAGGGTTACACTCCACTAATTGCAGTTTTGGTGCTTTGTAGCTCAGTTGGTAGAGCATGGCGCGTGTAACGCCACAGTAGTGGGTTCGATTCCCGGGACCACCCATACGTAAAATGTATGCACGCATGACTAAGTCGCTTTGGATAAAGCGTCCGCTAAATGGCATTATTTCTTATTATTATTCTGATCTCGCCATAGGTTTTCAATGTAATTTAGATCTGCACTCTTCGCTGGCCGCTCCAGAACTATCCAGTGTTTCTTCTTGAACCATTCCAGGGTGCTTTTGATGTGTTTGGGATTGTTGTCCTGCTGGAAGACCCACAACCTTCGACAGAGACAGTTTTTGGACACTGGGTTGAACATTGCACTCCATCACACCTTGATAATCAGCTGATTTCATGATGTCTTGCACACATTCAAGGCCCCAAGTATCAGAGGCAAAAACTGTCATATCTTATGTTTCACCCAGTCGTGGCTGAACGAAGACATGAATAACATACAGCTGGTGGGTTATACACTGCATCGGCAGGATAGAAAAGCAGCCTCTGGTAAGACAAGGGGTGGCGGTCTGTGTATATTTGTAAACAACAGCTGGTGCACGATATCTAAGGAAGTCTCTAGGTTTTGCTCGCCTGAGGTAGAGTATCTCATGATAAGCTGTAGACCACACTATCTACCAAGAGAGTTTTCATTTATATTCTTCGTAGCTGTCTATTTACCACCACAAACCAATGCTGGCACTAAGACCGCACACAATTAACTGTATACGGCCATAAGCAAACAGGAAAACGCTCATCCAGAGGCGGCGCTCCTAGTGGCCGGGGACTTTAATGCAGGGAAACTTAAATCTGTTTTACCTCATTTCTACCAGCATGTTAAATGTGCAACCAGAGGGAAAGAAATTCTAGACCACCTTTACTCCACACACAGAGACGCGTACAAAGCTCTCCCTCACCCTCCATTTGGCAAATCTGACCATAATTCTATCCTCCTGATTCCTGCTTACAAGCAAAAACTAAAGCAGGAATCACCAGTGATTCGGTCAATAAAAAAGTGGTCAGATGAAGCAGATGCTAAGCTACTGGACTGTTTTGCTAGCACAGACTGGAATATGTTCCGGGATTCTTCCGATGGCATTGAGGAGTACACCACATCAGTCACTGATTCATCAATAAGTGCATCGATGAGGTCGCCCCCACAGTGACCGTACGTACATACCCCAACCAGAAGCCATGGATTACAGGCAACAACCGCACTGAGCTAAAGGGTAGAGCTCCCGCTTTCAAGGAGTGGGACTCTAACCCGGAAGCTTATAAGAAATCCCGCTATGCTCTCCGACGAACCATCAAACAGGCAAAGCATCAATACAGGACTAAGATCGAATCATACTACACCGGCTCTGACGCTCGTCGGATGTGGCAGGGCTTGAAAACTATTACAGACTACAAAAGGTAAGCACAGCCACGAGCTGCCCAGTGACACAAGCCTACCAGACGAGCTAAATTACTTATATTCTCGCTTCGAGGCAAGTAACACTGAAACATGCATGAGATCATCAGCTGTTCCGGACGACTGTGTGATCACGCTCTCCGTAGCCGATGTGAGTAAGACCTTTAAACAGGTCAACATTCACAAGGCCAGATTGACAGATTACTAGGACGTGTACTTCGAGCATGCGCTGACCAACTGGCAAGTGTCTTCACTGACATTTTTAACCTCTCCCTGTCTGAGTCTGTAATACCAACATGTTTCAAGCAGACCACCATAGTCCCTGTTTCCAAGAACACTAAGGTAACCTGCCTAAATGACTACCGACCCGTAGCACTCACGTCTGTTGCCATGAAGTGCTTTGAAAGGCTGGTCATGGTTCACATCAACACCATTATCCCAGGAACCCTAGACCCACTCCAATTTGCATACCACTCCAACAGATCCACAGAAGATGCAATCTCTATTGCACTCCACACTGCCCTTTCACACTGGACAAGAGGAACACATTTCACATTTACATTTTAGTCATTTAGCAGACGCTCTTATCCAGAGCGACTTACAGTTAGTGAGTGCATACATTTTTTATACTGGTCCCCCGTGGGAATCAAACCCACAACCCTGGCGTTGCAAGCGCCATGCTCTACCAACTGAGCTACAGGAGGCCCTATGTGAGAATGCTATTCACTGACTACAGCTCAGCGTTCAACACCATAGTGCCCTCAATGCTCATCACTAAGCTAAGGACCCTGGGACTTCAGATTCCTTGATGTCCACAACACCAACAAACTAACATGGTCCAAGCACACCAAGACAGTCATGAAGAGGGCACGACAAAACCTATTCCCCCTAAGGAGACTGAAAAGATTTGGCATGGGTCCTCAGATCCTCAAAAAGTTATACAGCTGCACCATCGAGAGCATCCTGACTGGTTGCATCACTGCCTGGTATGGCAACTGCTCGGCCTCCGACCTCAAGGCGCTACAGAGGGTAGTGCGTACGTCCTAGTACATCACTGGGGCCAAGCTTCCTGCCATCCATGACCTCTATACCAGGCGGTGTCAGAGGAAGGCCCTAAAAATCGTCAAAGACTCCAGCCACCCTAGTCATAGACTGTTCTCTCTGCTACCACACGGCAAATGCCACCCCCCCCCAACACATTCATATTTCTTATAAAAAGAAGAAGTGATACAGTCAGTTTCTCCTCAACTCATAGCCAAGAGAGACTGGCATGCATAGTATTGATATTAGCCCTCTGATTACAATGAAGAGCAAGACGTGCCGCTCTGTTCTGGGCCAACTGCAGCTTAACTAGGTCTTTCCTTCCAGCACTCGACCACACGACTGGACAATAATCAAGATAAGACATAACTGGAGCCTGCAGGACTTGCTTTTTGGAGTGTGGTGTCAAAAAAGCACAGCATCTCTTTATTACGGACAGACCTCTCCCCATCGTTACAACCATTTAATCAATATGTTTTGACCATGACAGTTTACAATCTAAGGTAACAACAAGTAATTTAGTCTCCTCAACTTGTTCAACAGCCACACCATTCATTACCAGATTCAGCTGAGGTGTAGAACTTAGGGAATGATTTGTACCAAATACAATGCTCAGTTTTAGAAATGTTCTGGACCAGTTTATTACTGGCCACCCATTCCAAAACAGACTGCAACTCTTTGTTAAGGGTTTCAGTGACATCATTAGCTGTGGTTGCTGATGCATATATGGTTGAATCATCAGCATATACAGTGGGGAAAAAAAGTATTTAGTCAGCCACCAATTGTGCAAGTTCTCCCACTTAAAAAGATGAGAGAGGCCTGTAATTTTCATCATAGGTACACGTCAACTATGACAGACAAATTGAGGGAAAAAAATCCAGAAAATCCCATTGTAGGATTTTTAATGAATTTATTTGCAAATTATGGTGGAAAATAAGTATTTGGTCACCTACAAACAAGCAAGATTTCTGGCTCTCACAGACCTGTAACTTCTTCTTTCAGAGGCTCCTCTGTCCTCCACTCGTTACCTGTATTAATGGCACCTGTTTGAACTTGTTATCAGTATAAAATACACCTGTCCACAACCTCAAACAGTCACACTCCAAACTTCACAATGGCCAAGACCAAAGAGCTGTCAAAGGACACCAAAAACAAAATTGTAGACCTGCACCAGGCTGGGAAGACTGAATCTGCAATAGGTAAGCAGCTTGGTTTGAAGAAATCAACTGTGGGAGCAATTATTAGGAAATGGAAGACATACAAGACCACTGATAATCTCCCTCGATCTGGGGCTCGACGCAAGATCTCACCCCGTGGGGTCAAAATGATCACAAGAACGGTGAGCAAAAATCCCAGAACCACACGGGGGGACCTAGTGAATGACCTGCAGAGAGCTGGGACCAAAGTAACAAAGCCAACCATCAGTAACACACTACGCCGCCAGGGACTCAAATCCTGCAGTGCGAGACATGTCCCCCTGCTTAAGCCAGTACATGTCCAGGCCCGTCTGAAGTGCATTTGGATGATCCAGAAGAGGATTGGGAGAATGTCATATGGTCAGATGAAACCAAAATATAACTTTTTGGTAAAAACTCAACTCGTCATGTTTGGAGGACAAAGAATGCTGAGTTGCATCCAAAGAACACCATACCTACTGTGAAGCATGGGGTTGGAAACATCATGCTTTGGGGCTGTTTTTCTGCAAAAGGATCAGGACGACTGATCCGTGTAAAGGAAAGAATGAATGGGGCCATGTATCGTGAGATTTTGAGTGAAACCCTCCTTCCATCAGCAAGGGCATTGAAGATGAAACGTGGCTGGGTCTTTCAGCATGACAATGATCCCAAACACACCCCCGGGCAACGAAGGAGTGGCTTCGTAAGAAGCATTTCAAGGTCCTGGAGTGGCCTAGCCAGTCTCCAGATCTCAACCCCATAGAAAATCTTTGGAGGGAGTTGAAAGTCTGTGTTGCCCAGCGACAGCCCCAAAACATCACTGCTCTAGAGGAGATCTGCATGGAGGAATGGGCCAAAATACCAGCAACAGTGTGTGAAAACCTTGTGAAGACTTACAGAAAACGTTTGACCTGTGTCATTGCCAACAAAGGGTATATAACAAAGTATTGAGAAACTTTTGTTATTGACCAAATACTTATTTTCCACCATCATATGCCAATAAATTCATAAAAAATCCTACAATGTGATTTTCTGGATTTTTTTTTCTCATTTTGTCTGTCATAGTTGACCTGTACCTATGATGAAAATTACAGGCCTCTCTCATCTTTTTAAGTGGGAGAACTTGCACAATTGGTGGCTGACTAAATACTTTTTTTCCCCACTGTATGGACACACATGCTTTGTTTAATGCCAGTGGCAGGTCATTGGTAAAAAATAGAAAAGAGTAGAGGGCCTACACTACACTTTACATGTTTGACATTAGAGAAGCTTCCATTAAAGAAAACCCTCTGAGTTCTATTAGATAGATAGCTCTGAATCCACGATATGGCAGAGGTTGAAAAGCCATAACACACAAGTTCTCTCAACAACAGGTTATGGTCAATAATGTCAAAGGCTGCACTGAAATCTAACCGCTCCCACTTTCTTATTATACATTTCTTTCAACCAATATCATTGAAGAACATTGAAGAATTAGAGCAGTTTGCTGCTGAAAAGTGGGAAAAATTGATGGCTACAAGAAGAGTTTGTCTAAAGTTATCTTGGCCAAAGGCTGTTCAACCAAGTACTAGCTCCGGGGTGCCAATAATTTTGTCCATGCCATTTGTCTTTATCTTCTAAACAAATTGTTTAAACGTAAGTTAACAAAAATAAAATTGGTTAAGGTGTGGGGACTAAATGTTTTTTTCAATTTGAACTTATTTGAGAAGAAATAGGGAATTATTTAAGAAAAGTGCAAGGGTGCCAATATATCAGCCCTATAAAAATCTGTTTAATTTTTTGCCTGATTTCGTATAGATTTTCGCAAGGTGGATTTTATAGGGCCCTACAATATATTTGGACGCAACTGTAACTCTGAATAATAACACTCAGTATCGGCTGCTAGAGGTTGACACGGGAACAGGACTCCCGCATGTCTTGCTGGAATGAGATTCAAGTTCTATAGTCAAGTTCTGGACAGGACAGGATAGACAGTCTACAGGAACGGGCAGTACAGGAATCGTTATAAGCTTTTTTTGAGGGGGAGGTATAAATATGTAATGTGTGGAACATTTCATGCAAATAAAACTGTGTAGGCCTAATATACACTGCTCAAAAAACACTTAAACAACACATCCTAGATCTGAATGAATGAAATAATCTTTTTAAATACTTTTTTCTTTACATAGTTGAATGTGCTGACAACAAAATCACACAAAATTTATCAATGGAAATCAAATTTATCAACCCATGGAGGTCTGGATTTGGAGTCACCCTCAAAATTAAAGTGGAAAACCACACTACAGGCTGATCCAACTTTGATGTAATGTCCTTAAAACAAGTCAAAATGAGGCTCAGTAGTGTGTGTGTGGCCTCCACGTGCCTGTATGACCTCCCTACAACGCCTGGGCATGCTCCTGATGAGGTGGCGGATGGTCTCCTGAGGGATCTCCTCCCAGACCTGGACTAAAGCATCCGCCAACTCCTGGACAGTCTGTGGTGCAACGTGGCGTTGGTGGATGGAGCGAGACATGATGTCCCAGATGTGCTCAATTGGATTCAGGTCTGGGGAACGGGCGGGCCAGTCCATAGCATTAATGCCTTCCTCTTGCAGGAACTGCTGACACACTCCAGCCACATGAGGTCTAGCATTGTCTTGCATTAGGAGGAACCCAGGGCCAACCGCACCAGCATATGGTCTCACAAGGGGTCTGAGGATCTCATCTCGGTACCTTATGGCAGTCAGGCTACCTCTGGCGAGCACATGGAGGGCTGTGCGGCCCCCCAAAGAAATGCCACCCCACACCATGACTGACCCACCGCCAAACCGGTCATGCTGGAGGATGTTGCAGGCAGCAGAACGTTCTCCACTGTGTCTCCAGACTCTGTCACATGTGCTCAGTGTGAACCTGCTTTCATCTGTGAAGAGCACAGGGCGCCAGTGGCGAATTTGCCAATCTTGGTGTTCTCTGGCAAATGCCAAACGTCCTGCACGGTGTTGGGCTGTAAGCACAACCCCCACCTGTGGACGTCAGGCCCTCATACCACCCTCATGGAGTCTGTTTCTGACCGTTTGAGCAGACACATGCACATTTGTGGCCTGCTGGAGGTCAATTTGCAGGGCTCTGGCAGTGCTCCTCCTGCTCCTCCTTGCACAAAGGCGGAGGTAGCAGTCCTGCTGCTGGGTTGTTGCCATCCTACGGCCTCCTCCACGTCTCCTGATGTACTGGCCTGTCTCCTGGTAGCACCTCCATGCTCTGGACACTATGCTGACAGACACAGCAAACCTTCTTGCCACAGCTCGCATTGATGTGCCATCCTGGATGAGCTGCACTACCTGAGCCACTTGTGTGGGTTGTAGACTCCGTCTCATGCTACCACTAGAGTGAAAGCACCGCCAGCATTCAAAAGTGACCAAAACATCAGCCAGGAAGCATAGGAACTGAGAAGTGGTTTGTGGTCACCACTTGCAGAACCACTTCTTTATTGGGGGTGTCTTGCAAATTGCCTATAATTTCCACCTGTTGTCTATTCCATTTGCACAACAGCATGTGAAATGTATTGTCAATCAGTGTTGCTTCCTAAGTGGACAGTTTGATTTCACAGAAGTGTGATTGACTTGGAGTTACATTGTGTTGTTTAAGTGTTCCCTTTATTTTTTTGAGAAAAAGCAGCAATAGTACTGTTTGTCCATCTTAAATTGCCATAGCCAGTATACACTTCCTCAAAATAGTCCGAATTAATCTAAGAAAAAATTAATGACAGATTTCTTGAGTTGACATTTTTGCCGAGGAGATCTTAGTCACACAATTTTCCATCTAACTAAAATGTTTGGTGCAGTATTACAAAAAATGTGCATGAAAATGAGTCATCTACCGTTGAGTGACAACAAACACTTCATTGAAGAATCCCTACTGTTAACCAATGACCGACGAAGGGGCGTAGACTTCGGCTCTGAACTTCGGCTTGCCTCAAGACATTTTTTTGTGTGCATGAACAGCCAAAAAAAAACTTGCCAAAGACCAAAATGAACAAAAACGTCACAGAATGTCATAATATATGCACAAACTGTTCCAAAATGTTTCCTTACCGGAGAAAGTTATTTCTGATTTCTGTGCGTAAAAATGAGCACGGGACGAGAGTGATTTTTATCGGGATGGGACAGGAAAGTTCCAGGGTTCTAGAATTGTTGCGGGATCAGGATATTTAGGAAAAAAATTTGACAGGACAAGACGGGAAGAATGAATTTTCACTCCAGTGTCAACCTGAATATGATCCTAAGTAGCAGCACATCACATCATTTTGAACAAACAAAACATGTAATTGAATCATAGACTTTCTGATAACCCTCCTCTGTACTGCTAGCAGTGTAGCACTTACCCCATCTTGACCCACTAATGAAAGGTCATCCCCATCACCCACTGTCTCGTTATGGTAATGAGCAGAGGCTGAAGAAACACACTAGTGTAAACAAACACACTGCAGCTCAGACGAAAATCCTCCTGATGTGGTTGTTAACAAGGTCAACACTGGTGAGGATGTGTCAAGTCCTAAAGGACAGCTAGCCTGTTAAAAAACAACAGTAACATTTTATATTTAGGTATAGACAGCGGGCACTGTGAGTTCTGATGACAGCTGAACAAAACATATGGTGCTTATACTGCTTAGGAGCAGCCAGAGGTCAGAAAGCGATAGATATGCCTGATACTGTACCTGTCCTGTCCTGTCCTGTCCTGCCCTGTATAAGCTGCTTAGCTGTGTTTTGTGCTCCTGTGGTGAGCTAAGCTCTCCCCTTCAGTCTTTTGGCTCCTTTGATCTCCTCTGTATAGTAAATATGGTCTTATCTTTTATCTGGCTGAAATATGTGAAATAAATTATGACGCTACACCTTATGCTCTGTTGGCAACCTGGTTTAACCCTAGAATGGAGGTGTGTTTGCGTTAACCCCTCCTTGGCAACCTGGTTTAACCCTAGGATGGAGTGTGTTTTTGTATTAGCCCCTCCTTGGCAACTTGGTTTAACCCTAGGATGGAGGTGTTTTTGTATTAACCCCTCCTTGGCAACCTGGTTTAACCCTAGGATGGAGGTGTTTTTGTATTAACCCCTCCTTGGCAAACTGGTTTAACCCTAGGATGGAGGTGTGGTTGTGTTAACCCCTCCTTGGCAACCTGGTTTAACCCTAGGATGGAGGTGTTTTTGTATTAACCCCTCCTTGGCAACCTGGTTTAACCCTAGGATGGAGGTGTGGTTGTGTTAACCCCTCCTTGGCAACCTGGTTTAACCCTAGGATGGAGGTGTGGTTGTGTTAACCCCTCCTTGGCAACCTGGTTTAACCCTAGGATGGAGGTGTGGTTGTGTTAACCCCTCCTTGGCAACCTGGTTTAACCCTAGGATGGAGGTGTGGTTGTGTTAACCCCTCCTTGGCAACCTGGTTTAACCCTAGGATGGAGGTGTGGTTGTGTTAACCCCTCCTTGGCAACCTGGTTTAACCCTAGGATGGAGGTGTGGTTGTGTTAACCCCTCCTTGGCAACCTGGTTTAACCCTAGGATGGAGGTGTGGTTGTGTTAACCCCTCCTTTGATGTGTTAACCTCTCCTATGTTACCCCATCCCCATCCTTTTGACTCAGGACGACTACATCTCGATGATACATTTTTATAGCAAGGCAAACCTACAGTTGACATTGTTCTGGTTTGGGTTTCACATTGTGGGTAAAACATGACCGTAAGGGGCTGTAAGGTACATGTGAGGCCACTGCAACTGTTCACAGAACTGTTCTATCATAGACACACGTCATTCAAACGGTACAAAACCTTCTCTCCCAGGGAACATGGGAGTCATAAGGATGGATCTAATAGAATCAGCGCTGAGGAAAATGTGTCAGTTGTATATCAAATAGATAGCACTTTCTTTAAACATGCCAAGCCCAATATGAGATTACCCATGTGATAGGCTATATCTCCGAGGGTACGTGCTGTTTCTACGCTGCTAGCAGTGATAAAGGGTTATCGGAAAGTAATCTCTATGATTCGGTTACATGTTTTGTTTGTTCAAAATGATATGATGTGCTGCTACTGAGGATCATATTCCGCAGGGAAGCCATTAGGCCTACTGTGAGTGTTATTCTATGGACAGTTAAGTTCTCTAGCCATAGTGGGGTCCCTGTCTGTCTGTCTGTCTCTGTGTGTCTGTCTGTCTCTCTCTCTGTGTGTGTGTGTGTGTGGGTGTGTGTGTGTGCGCAAGCCAGGGGCTAATGGTGTGTGAAAACAGGGAGTGTAATTACGCCAAACATTAGCGGTGTGGGGAAATTATAAGAGGGAACTAGTAATTTAACAAGGAGGTCTACGGGTGGAAGGGTTCTAATGAGAAGTGTTCCAAACGGCTTAATTACAGCAGCTTAATTATCAACAACGAGCCAGGGTAGGGGAGGGAATGGCCGGCAGGGATGTAGCTCAGTTGGTAGAGCATGGTGTTTGCAACGCCAGGGTTGTGGGTTCGATTCCCACGGGGGGCCAGTATGAAAAATAAAAAATAATGTATGCACTCACTAAGTGTAAGTCGCTCTGGATAAGAGTGTCTGCTAAATGACTAAAATGTAAAAAAAAATGAACTACCAGCATGCAACAGTACTGCCACAGGAACAGGAAGGAATGTCCAGTGGGACAGTGTTGCTACCTCGTATATAGACCTCTTATCACACTATAACTGGATTAAAATTGTACTGAAATCCACTCAGCAGGAAGACAACATATGACTTCTGCCCTCTCATATCTGATAGCATTTACCTCACACAACTATTACCATGTTAACAACTGGTTAGATAGAAGCAATCTATGAAGGATTGTATGAGTGGATGTGTATGTGTTTTATTTAGATGTCATGTATGTAGGCCTACAGTAGCTGCCTATTATTGATAAAGCCTAACATAGGGCATTTTAAATTTTTTCCCAAATTCAATTTTTTCCAGGTTTCCAATAAAACAATTATTTAAATTTAGTTGATTTCCTACTAAGTTCAATACATTTTTGAATATTGTTGAATTCCGTTTTAATGTCTGGATTCCGTGATTTCGTTTGTGTTCTCCACAACATTCCTGTGACAAGATATTAACCTCTATAACATGGACTTCAAAATACTTGTAATACAGTCAGATTTGGGGTAAAATCCATTTCAACTCAGGAAGTAAACTGACATTTCTATTTCAATTCAAATTTTCCACATTAAAAAGCAATTGAAATGGAATTGACCCCAACCCTGAATACAGTATATAAATTGTGTGTTTTTCATTGAATGTAAAATATTTCAAAATTACGGTTGGTTGGACTAATTTCTACATCAGCCGTCATGTGGACCCATCTGTTCTTCAGCCCCTCAACACTGTAAGCCCCCCCCTCTCCTCCTTTTCCCTTTCCTGTCCCATACCCCCATCCATCCCTTCCTCTCCCCTATCCACTCCAGCTGAGTACACGCAGGCGTTTGTAGTGTACTCCATTGTTACTATTGCAGTGCTCCGCTGAAAACGGCATGTCTCATTAACCGGCATGTCTCATTAACCGGCATGTCTCATTAACCGGCATGTCTCACCTGACTCCTGAGGGCCCTATAGGGGCAGTGGTAGGGGGGCAGGGGCGGAAAACGGAGAGAGAGCGTTTGTTTGTGTGTGAGACAGAGACAAAGGGCACAAACATACAGCAAAACACACAACCATCCTCCCACCTCCTCCCCTCTCCAGCAGCAGACAGGAAGAAACAACATTCAGCCTGTGTCCTCCCTCTGCATCCGCTCTCCATTCTGCTCTTTTTCAATGAAATACACACAATGCCCTCAAGGCCAAATGGCCTTTGCTGTGGTTAAGACAATGGCTATTCAACATTCACACAGTCCCATGGCAAAGGTTAGCATTCTACATCTACATCCACCGACATCATTCATCTGACCCTGGCTTTGAATGTGGTTTGATTTAGTGAGGTACCAGTTACATTCAACACTAGGGTAAAAGTCACTCACAGACACTCTTGGTTTCTTGTTGCACATACATTACAACTGATTTTCAGCATCAAGCTCTCTAAAATCTGAATTCCAAATCAACCCTAGGACCACAGCCATTACGGTGAAACTGTAGCTGTCTATCTTTATTTAATGCTTTCTGATTGGCTGGGTGGACATGTTGTATATACAGCATAGTGCTTCCACCCCTTTAATCTTCTCAGATCTACAGAAGTGGTTAAGAGAGTAGGGGGTTGACTTGGCATTCAGCATTAGATGTGTCCCTCTGTAGGGTGTGACAGATGCAGCCTCTGGGACACATGTTTGGGACTAGCCCAACTTCCCTTCAATCCCCTGGCTCTGGAGGTCGTCTGTCGCCTCAGTCAAGGCAAGGTTTCCGCTCTCTCTCTCTCCTGCTCTCTCTCTCCATCCGTCTCTATCCTTGTCAGCGTCCCTCCCTGAATTTAACAACCTTGTGAATTGGGCTTGCTGACGTAAATGTTCTCTCCAGGCTACAGCCTGGAGCAAAGTGGAGCAGTTAAATAACTGGCATTCTGTCTGTCTGTATTAGCGTTGTCACGATACCAACATTTTACTAACGATACGATACCAGGCCAAGTATCACAATACCGAGTAGTATCGCAATACCACGATGGAAAAAATCTGTGGTCAAGCGTCCTGTTTGCCCCGTCCCCCGGACGCTTGTTCCCATTTTCTAAACGTTCTGCACATGTGCTACGCAAAAACCTGTCACTGAAATTCACACTTCTACTAAATACAATGCATTGAATTAAACTTCACACTGTTCAGTGTATAATAGAATACTGCATAGAATGGCTGATTTGCTCATATTTGCAAAAGCCTACCCGTGATTTGGCTGGAGGAATGGGAGGAAGGAATATACATGCATAATGATCTGCATGTCATTATGGGGAAAAACTGCATGAAACCTTCTTTACTCTTCAGTTAACAGACACACACACACACTCCCTCCCTCCCTTCCTCACACACTCTCTCTCTCTCCCTCTCTCTCATAATAACCACCCCCACCCCAGTCACTCTCGATCTCTCTCCCTCCTACAAACACACACCGCTCCCAACTTTTCAAACGTTAGGCACCAAACAAAATTTAAGGCGCACCAGAAAGAAATTGATTTGTGATGTAGTTTAGGCACTGTGATATTACCGTGGTACTGGTATACTGTGCAACAGTAGTCTGTACTGGAGAGAGCAGAGGAAAGCACCATTTTCATAGCCTCTCTGACTTGCCTTGTTCACCTTTCGGGGCGGCCGGTAGCCTGGCGGGTAGGGTTAAATGCAGAAGACACATTTCAGTTGAATGCATTCATTGTACAACTGACTAGGTATCCCCTTCCTCTCTCTCTCACCTCCTTGACCCCTGCCTCTCACCCTCAGCTCCAACTCTGCAACCACTATTGTGTCCTGAACTGGAGAGTCTAGGCTACATATAGACTAACATAGCTCGCTTTCAGAGAAGTACTGGGCTGGCATGCTACTGGGTACAGGACTGTGTGACTTCCTGCTAATTATTACTCATGACATAACATGTGTCCCAAATGGCACCCTGTTTCCTACATAGTGCACTACTTTTGATCAGGGCCCATAGGACTCTGGATAAAAGTAGTGCGCTATTTAGGGAATAGGGTTCCATTTGGGATGCAGTCATACATTCTGAGATTAAACCTATTGTACTGAATGTGGGTTACTTTGCACCTGTGGTCTTGTTGCTGTTTACTTGTGGAACCAAATGCTATTTGAAATTCACATCACCTTCACAGAGTCACAGAGCGAGCACAGTCAGTGCTTTAAATAAAAGGGGCGCTCAGATGCGTTGAGTTCACGACACAATGTTAGTAGTGTTCAGCTGAATTGGCTAAATTGGCGTAAATTAATGATTTTCTGTAGCTAGACCAAAACCAAATTAGGCCTAACTGATGACTGAATGTGATGTAAATGTTGAGCGGCTTCACTGCAGGTAGATTGTATGTGTTAATATTAAATATAATTAACATAAATAAAAATAAGGCCTAAACGTCAGATCTATTTAAGGATCATATCTCTTACGTAAGAAACCATAGTTCAGCAACCACCTGCAGGTCAGTTCATCTCTCAGAGCAGAGTTTAGTATCAGTGTGCACTGTGAAGGTATCCATTCTATCTTTTTGTTTTCTACTATGGATGTTCGTATCCCAAACTGATTTCCCTTTGGAGATTAATAGAGTACAATCTCATCTCTTCTCCCTATAATCTTGCTGTTTGAATCCCATGCACCCATCTGTGACTCACGCATTTTATTATTAAGAACTGAGAAAGGCACAGACCCACTGTTTAAAGGGCACAGCATAGTCTGTCCCAAATGGCACCCTATACCCTATATAGTGCACTACTTCCCTATGGGACGCAATAGTGTCATCTCTGTTAGGGGATCAAACTGTGACTGGAAGAGGCAGACAGATGGACAACAGGGCCCCTCATTGACCAGCTATAGTTTCACAGTGGCTCCTAGGATTATTATGCAACCCAAAGCCACAGAGCAGGGAGCATGAGGCACCGACTCAAGAAATGACATTACAAAACGCAGCCTAGGTCTAATGGGGTGCATTCACACAGCCCCAGGGGCAGCCAAGTGGAAAACAGCGTACTCCACCATGAACAGGGAGAAAGAGAAGATTGTGTGTGTGTGTGTGTGTGTGTCTGTCTGTTAGTATGTCTATGTGTGTGTAGCCGACTATGTGGGAAATAGGGTGTTCTTCTCTTCTGCCCTGCGAGAGCCTGTCTAAGAGGAGGACTAAGGTATTCTAGCATCCTGAAAGGACAAATGAGTGTAGCAACTATACACAGAAAGAGCCTTGTGTGAATAGAGGTGTTGTTACTCATTATAATGCATGAGGCACTTTGAGAGTTTCGCTTTAAATAAAGACCAAGGCATGTCACCCCATTCCCCCCATACTCCCCCCCCCCCCCCTCACTTAGATTCTGGAGAGGAATTTAAGGCATGGGTCGAGCGAGCGAGCGAGCGAGCGAGAGAGAGAGAGAGAGAGAGAGAGAGAGAGAGAGAGAGAGAGAGAGAGAGAGAGAGAGAGAGAGAGAGAGAGGAGAGAGGAGAGAGAGAGAGAGAGAGAGAGAGAGAGAGAGAGAGAGAGAATAAAAGAGTCTCATGGCAGCACAGCATCATTCACTTCCTAGTTTTTCACTTATCATGCTGTGCACAAGTGATGCTGCCTGCCATTATATTGGTCCACTTAGCCTATTCAGGTCCACGTTTGGTTTACTGAGGCGTGCCACCACGCACACACAATTCCCTGTGGGTCTCTGTCCTGGTCATGTCAATCAATAGTCTCTGTGTATTTTCAATACAGTTTCACATCGGTAGAGCTGTAGCAGTTGTAACTTGGAACACTAGAACTCTCTTCTGACAGATGTGCACCATGCACTCTGAGAGTTAAGAGTTCATGTCAACAAGTGAAGAAGAAGTCATCCTGACCTAGGCTAACCCAAGGGACATTCTGCATTCTTTCTCTGCCAACACTTGGGCTAAGGTTTTATTTAGGATTTATTTGGATTTCATGAAGTTAGCCTAAATTCGTGAGAATCCTAAATATAGGCTAAACATCACCCTACTTTATATTCTTGATTCTTTAATCTGGTACAGATTCTCTACAGGGGATAGAAACACTATGAATAAGTAGAGACACAAGCTAAGCAGAGATAAACAAAAAACACAAAAAATTGAAATAAGATAATTGTAAAGGCTTTAAAACGCCACTAATACAGTCACATTTGTATTAAGTTAGTGGCGACTAAATGTCACCATCTGCTAACAGCAGCCCAATAAAGAACAAATGGAAAATAATAAAACACTTCCTTTCGAAACAAAGTTTCCATTCCAGACAAGTGTTTAAAATTACAGTCTCTAGTATCAAGAAAGAGAGATAATTTTAAAAAGAATTGGAGAGAGAGAGAGATAAAGAGGGATAAAACATCCGCTGTTCCAATATTGGGCAATGCCAGCTGCTGGAGAACGAGGTTGGGTGCAGGCAAGGCGGGTACTTATCTACAGATGGCAACGGCAAATAATACTGGCAAACATAGCTCAAGCATTTCTACATTGAATTCTAAAATTATCTTTTTCCAAATGCATTTTATCTTATCTTTTTCCAAATGCATTTTATCTTTTGCTTTGGAGTAGCCATTCTCCATAGTGGACACAAGGTGCATAGTAGGCCTAATCGAAAAGGCGCATGTCAACCACCATGCTGCTTGAATCAACCTCCTGGGCTAGTCACTGTTCACAGTAACCCCAGCGTCAACTCTAAACTGTTACAATAGTTAGTTAGTCATTCACTCACCCACTCTCCCATTCTGACGCAAACACAAACCACTGAGGCTAGTCACTTACAGCTACTGTATCCCCAGAATCAACTGTTGTGTTCACATATCCCCAGCATCAACTGTTTTAGTAATTTAGCAGACACTCTTATCCAGAGCGACTTACAGTTAGTGAGTGCATACATTATTATTAAAAAATTTTTTTTTTTCATACTGGCCCCCCGTGGGAATCGAACCCACAACCCTGGCGTTGCAAACGCCATGCTCTACCAACTGAGCTACATCCCTGCCGGCCATTCCCTCCCATACCCTGGACGACGATTGTGCGCCGCCCCATGGGTCTCCCGGTCGCGGCCGGCTACGACAGAGCCTGGATTCTAACCAGGATCTCTAGTGGCACAGCTACCACTGCGCCACTCGGGAGACTGTTCACATATCCCCAGCATCAACTGTTCACATATCCCCAGCATCAACTGTTCACATAGCCCCAGGATCATCTGTTCACATAGCCCCAGCATCAACTGTTCACATAGCCCCAGCATCAACTGTTCACATATCCCCAGCACCAACTGTTCACATAGCCCCAGCATCAACTGTTCACATATCCCCAGCACCAACTGTTCACATAGCCCCAGGATCATCTGTTCACATATCCCCAGCACCAACTGTTCACATAGCCCCAGCATCAACTGTTCACATATCCCCAGCACCAACTGTTCACATAGCCCCAGGATCAACTGTTCACATAGCCCCAGCATCAACTGTTCACATATCCCCAGCACCAACTGTTCACATAGCCCCAGCATCAACTGTTCACATAGCCCCAGCATCAACTGTTCACATAGCCCCAGCACCAACTGTTCACATAGCCCCAGCATCAACTGTTCACATAGCCCCAGGATCAACTGTTCACATAGCCCCAGCATCAACTGTTCACATAGCCCCAGCATCAACTGTTCACATATCCCCAGCACCAACTGTTCACATAGCCCCAGCATCAACTGTTCACATAGCCCCAGCATCAACTGTTCACATAGCCCCAGCACCAACTGTTCACATAGCCCCAGCATCAACTGTTCACATAGCCCCAGCATCAACTGTTCACATAGCCCCAGCATCAACTGTTCACATAGCCCCAGCACCAACCCCATACTGCACTTCAGATAAACCTGCGTGCTCCAGGCAGGAGGCAGCACTCCACCCAACTGTGATGTGAACACTACAACCCACCACACGCAGTCCCAGTAAAAATAACTTCAATAGTTTCCCTTCCTCTGTGTGCGCACGTCGTGTGTGTGTGTCTGTCTGTGTGTTTCCCTCCCTGTGTCTGTGTTTCCCTCCCTGTGTCTGTGTGTTACCTCTCTGTGTGTTACATAGACATTTATAAATGAATGAGGAGCAATGAAATTACTCACCAACGAACTGCTAAGATTATTAAATTGGCAGTATTATACAGTATAATGGTATTATTTGGTGCTCATCTCAAATCTTATTTGCCTGCTGTACAGATGTAGGATCTTAATTTGATCACACTTTTGCAGAATAACTTTCCTGCAACGCACATTTTAATAGCCTAGTGTTGAATAAAAAGTGTTGACAGTGTTGAGTAAGAACTTAAACATGAACTCACTCATAAAAACAGCAGCTCTTTGCTGTGTTCGTTGACAGACTCTCTATAGTCATGGTTTTAAGCCTGGCACGTTACTGCAGACACGGTAATCTGAGCCATCCGATTATTACCGTATAACCGTGTCACCAACGGTTTTGGATGAAGACTGTCATGAAAATAAAATAATTTTTTTAAACATTGTTTTTTGTTGTTGTTGTGTGGAACGTACAGCTGACTGAAGACCGGAAGGCCGGGCATTCGTGCTGTTGAGTCCATTTCTGCTGTAACATGGACAAGCAAGGTGTTTTAGCAAACCAGTCTTTGTTTGCCTAGGCAACGCCTCCCTGCAGCAGCAACACATATTTTGTCTATAAAATTGTTTTGGTTTTGTTATTCGAACAGTTATTACGATGACCACGGTTATTTGGTAGACCAATAACCGTCATCCAATATGCCATGACCGTCACAGCCCTATTGGTCCACAGGATGAGCAGCAGCTGCCATGTGCACTGCCTGTTTTGCTGTTATTATATAACAGGCGCTTCCACTTAATTGATTTGGAACCCATGACCACTTGCACTGTGTTAGATGGCGTGTGTGTCTGTTTCTGTCTGTGTGTGATGTAGTTAGAGATAGGATGAGAACTACCCAGGAAAAACTGTTTTTTCCATGCTGACAGCAAAACACAAGCACACACACACGCACACACACACACAACGATCAGGTGATTGATTGAATCATGACAAACGTATCTATGACACGCGTGTGTGTGTGTGTGTGTATGTGGGTAAATCACAGTTCTACACTGCCCAAGTAGGTGTTTGGTATCTTTGTTTGTGGTCCGGACTGGGCATATGGTTGACAGAACAGCAGGTTTGGGACATCTGACACAGCTTGACCAGAAAATTAGGCTACGCTGCCTCCCTTCATATTGAGCATTTTCAGCATATGGCATTATCACACACTTGGCACTGACTGAGTGAGCAAGGACACTGACTGAGCAGCAACCCACAGAGGTATATATCCCAAGCACAACAAATGTACTACAGCTATGTCATAGTTCAGTGTCAACTGAGAGATTAAAAAATATTTTAGGAATTTTTAATAATTTTAATGCATACATACATGGCAAATGTCCCATATTTTGGCAAGGATGTTATTGTGAGATTGAATGGATGTTTTTCAGGCACTAGCTAGTCTAATCCTCTATTATCGTTCCAGTATTTACACTGCAGAGGATCGGTCCACTAAACTGTTGTTCTAAACGTGGGTAACCCTTAGGATTGTTAGGAACGTGCTAGACCTGAACACTAAAGGACCTCGTAGGATTTAGAAAATAATCTATTTGAGTACATTTACAAATCCAAAGTAATTGAACTTACTTGATAAATTAGCTAGCTATTATTATTTTTTTAACTACAAAGCAGACTTACTACTGCTTAGAAAAGCTGGTCCTCCTTGAAAATTAATGACAGTAGCTAGCTATTGTAAACAATGCCAAACTGTGCCAACTTGTAGGCCTACCCACAAATTTCGTGATTTTGGGTTTGGACATTTTCTACATAATAACGTGGCTAGCCTAGCTGTAGCAGGTTGCACTCTGCATCCTTTCCCACGGGTGTCATTTTGCTAATAAATCTCAACTAACCATGTGCACAAACTAGATTAGAGTCAGGAAATCAAGTTACTTACCAAAATACACCGTCTTGTCACACTTGGGACACTGTGAAGCCATGTTGCGATGGTTTTATCGAGCAAAGATCAAAGAAAGTGGTGCGTTTACAAAGTGCAGTGTGTGTCCACGTTCTCTTTCTATCTCATTCAAGCGCAAAGAGCTCCCTTCACTGAAGCTCGAGCATCTCATCACTGCGCCTCATTTGCATAAACCCCGCCTCTCGCAACTCACTTCTTTGGTCCAGCGCGCCGTCAGTCACAGATCGGGCGGGAGTCGGTAGAGCCTCGGGCACAGTGATGTCTACGGAGTCGGACCGGAGCGCTCCGCCACTGACTCGATACCCACTTTCTCCTTTCCTTTTCCCTTTTTTCAACTCGGCGAGTAGGCAGTGTTTGTTTGAACCACAATGCGCTCTTTCACTGAAGATGAATAGGAATTTCTACGGGCATGCATGATGATGGCAGACGTTGACATTTGAAATCAGTGATCTGGCTGAGTGAATGGCCATGGTCAGAGAGAGAGATGGGGGCTAATATAATATAATCATTTATTTAATGACCAGTGCCTTGACATTTGACTGTTCAATGTAAAATCCACACTGAAAAGCATGTTATAGAGAGAGGAGGAAAAAACACAAACACACACACACACACATTGTACACATGGGTCATGTTATCTTTATTGACATGGTAGTCTCTGTACATTACAAGAGCTCTTTAACCTCAGTTCAGCAGCTGTTGTACTCTCATGCGTTTCCCTCCTCTCCCTACATAACATGTTTGTCTTTATCTTCACAGGAGGAAATGTATGTTTCTTTCCAGACTACATGACTGTTAGTTAGGTCACCCATTCACACATTGGTGCTGTCCAGAGTCCAGCCCCCTGGGCGGGTGACATTCTGCAGGTCCCAGGCCAGGAACGGACGCACACACACATTCTCCAGAAACTATTTCCCAGAGCCCTGTGAGTTTCCCAGATGATTAGTACCACTAGTTAATCTAATCTCTGAGCTCACTATTTTTAAAAGCCTCCTTGTTCCAACCGTCGGGCTGTCTGGCTGCTGAGTGTCTGTCTCACTGGTTGGCTGTCGCTGGTGACTGTGTGTCACAGAAGACATGACTTAATTACTAGTCAGTCACCTCCATCACTTTTCTGTGGTTGCAGCCAGGTGTGTGTTCAGCTCATTCAGCTGAAGTGCAGAATATTGCTCGGTGCAGGACGATCGGCAGAAAGGAGAGAAGGGGGTTGGAGAAAGAGAGAAGGGAAATTGAGGGGAAGGGTACTCAATAACTAGAGATCTGAAAGAGATGCCTCCCAGCCTGTGATAGGGAAAGAGTACTGACTGAGCATGAGTGTCAGGCAGGAAATAGGGAAAGAGAGCAAGAGAGATCAAGAGAAAAGGGGGGGAAAGGTATGGTGTAAAGGGAATGGATGAGGGGATGAAGGGAATGGATGAGGGGATGGATGGAGGCCGGAATAAATGGGGAAAAGGACAGTGTAAAGGGGATGGATGAAGGGAATGCTACAGAGCCTCTGTATTCTGAGGCACTGAGCCATGGGGAGGCCTAATTATATACAGTCTATGGGCCCAGACCGGGCCTGGGCCTGGTCTGGAGGGGACTGAAGTGGCTGGACAGATCCAGGTCAACAGGCATCAGAAAATCTCTCTGATCTGCTGCTTGCTTCAGAGTTCAGACCTCACCACTAGCCTGGTCGCAGATCTGTTTGTACTGTAAGTTATAACCAATGACCTAGGAGTTGGCTATACGACACAAACAGATCTGGGACCAGGCTTCTAAACCACTGCCACTTAAGTGAACCAGTCAGTCCAGAGGGAGAAAACAGGGGTGTGAACCAGGAATCAGGGATATGTGCGTGTTGCTTCCTGAAGCACACACACACACACACACACACACACACCTGCTCCAGAGACTCCTCACACTCACACCATCAGACCAACCAACCAGTCCAGAGGGATAGCCTATAGGCAGGGGTGTAAACCAGGGGCAGGGCAGGTGTGGGAACAGGACCAGGGATGTGTGTTAATGTTCCTGTTCCTTCTTGCAGCACACATACACCTTCTCCAGAGAATCCTTCTCACACACCAATCATACCGCTAATCCATAGAGCCCAAGGGAGGGTGCCAAAACCCCTTGGCCCCAGTGACGCTTCCAGACTTTCAGTTTTTGGGCTACACAGTACATTTTGCAGTGTTAAATCAACACTTAAAGAGTACATTTTAACACTATCTCAGACAACATGTGGTCCCACTCTACAGAGTGCTCTGATTATAGTGTTACATTCGTAGTGTAAGAAATCAACACCGCATTAAACTTGCCAGTGTTACTCAAATTGAACACTATGGGGTAAGTAATACTCACAGTGTAATTTCTATTCAACACTAGTGTTAATATAGAGTCAACTCCTATTAGTGGTATGGAAAAACACTGTTACAGTAAGTTATTTTGGGTGTTGTTTTAACACTATATGGTGTAAAGCCTAATTTGCATATGGTGCCTTTTCTTTCGAGTGAATTGAAGTTACCACCCATGACTGTATTTGTTAGTGACAGAGTCATGGTTGTTGAATTCTTTCCTTTTAAAAGCCTGTGGCTTTCACCAAATGAGTACCTAGGTAAAGGTTATAATTAAAACTGTAACTTTATGACAATACAGTATATCATAAGGCCTTACTTTGATGGCCTAGTTTTACACCAACACAGTTGTGTTAGGAAAATGCTGCTTTATAAATTACAGGCCACATCAGGCCTGCAAGTCACATTATGCTGGCTGGCAAAGTGATGTCTAATTCCTTTTGGAATTCAGACAGAGTTAAGATATCCAACAGTTTGACTTTTTATTCAACCA